TTGGGTTGGAAATGATAGCTAGTTCTGTGCACTTGCTTTACATTTACTGCACCAAGAGATTGATAATGCATATACACATTGTGGGAAGCTTCGACTTGGACGCCATTGTTGAATGTCAAGCAACAGAAGATGAAAACTGGCAAAGCCCAAAGAAACCTGTAAGACAACTCCATTGGGCTTTGACAGTCGCGAAGAAAGAAACAAAGAAGGAGAAGGAATGACAATAAAACTGGGAAAGGAGTTTATTTATAGACATGGAGGTGGGGGAGGAGAGAGAGAGGTTTTTCAATGGATAATAAAATTTACTTAATTTATTGGGAGAAGGGTTTACCATGTGGATAGGAATACAATGAAGATTAATCTCATTAACCTGCTGGAGGCATGTTTTCTCTCTTGACACTCTAATTTTGAACAGAGAGAGAGAGAGAGTTTTAGCCAAAACGAAATTTCAACGGCTGTCAAAGAAGACTTTTAACAAAATCCACGAACCTTAGTCGATGGATGTGAAAATAAGTACAACTGTGCAACTTTGACCCGCAGGGTATGTTTGAATTGCGGGGATAACACGTAGGAGAGAAAAAAAATTAGGGCTATTTATTCCGTATTTGATAAGCAAAAAGGTACGCCGAAAATTTCACCGCTGGAGTGAAGTAGGTGTCTAAAAAAATATTCTTTAGAATCGTTGATTTTACCTTTATTATGTCATAAATATTGATCGTAAAAATGAATTATTAATATAAAATAAAAAATTTTACACATTAAAATTTTATTGAATAAAAAATAGAGATATCGTACCAAAAATTTACTTTCCATTACCTGGGATTCAATTTTTAGGGTCAAATATGATGGCAGAAAAGTACAATGCTGCATACCTAAAATCTTTGGTAGCCAGATATTTCACAATCTTCAATGGTACCATTCAATAAAATTAGCATTGTTCTCATTCTTCACACTTGACCAGTAGAAACATAGAATTTGTTTCAAAGCTGTGGATGGATTTCTGCTTCCATCAAAAACTAAAGTTTTGATTGTTATGGAGGTGTAGGTACAAGATTTGTACATAGTGTGATTGATAGTTTCGTAACAAAAAATAAGAATTAGTTAGTGAGTTAACGAATTAGTGCGTGAAGAGAGAAAATAGGACTAATAAACTCCACTTTGAGTCTAAGCTATGTATAGGATTGAGGTCTTGGGGGAGACCTAAGGGTTTGTGAACGTTTAAAGGAGAAAACCATTATAGGAAGCTTTGTGTAATCAAGTGGTAAAGTGGGAAAAACCCTAGCAGCATATGAGAAACTATATAAAGAAAAAAAAATAGTAATTAAGAACAGTGGATGATCTTACTGCATTAAGCTTGGTATCCTCTAGTTTGATTAGGAAAACTAGCTATTCGATAAGACAACAACTATTCAACTGAAACCAAAAGGCGTAGATCATTAAACGTACCTATTCAAACGAAACTTTGTAACCCCCCCCCCCCCCCACCCCACTTGATGATAGTAGGTGGTTGGACAATTGATACGGAACATAGAACTACTAGGCGAAGGAGAGAAACTTGAGATCGCTACATGATATTCGAGTTCTTATGAAATATAGAGTATGTGTCTTTTACTTGGTTTTACTTTAGTCGCCAAAAGATTAAAACTAAAGATAGTCGAACGTTTTTTCATGGAGCGCATATATAGTGTATATAATCTATTTCTACCACCTTTTTCATTTAGTAATGTTGCGAACTGTTTCAGATGTGTTGTAATAAACCCACTCGTGACATGAAAGGAAAACACACCCACAGCGGATAGATAAGGAAACCGAGTTAATTAAGTTCATTTACCAAAAGTTTGAAATAAATTACTTTGAGCTTAAGTTTAAGCTTTTGGATTAAGTTTAAATCTAACTGTGTATGAGCACAGATCCTAACAAAGGTATCAGAGCCCAAAAGCTAGCAAGTGAGAAAAGTGTTGGATAGAGTTAAAAATTTGAACGAAAATGTCTAGAGTGCACTAAGGAACAGAATGTTAGGTACTTTGAAAGATCAAAACTTCAGTTCGGTATTATTAGAATTTTGATTTCATCAATGATTCGTTTTGGTCTTCTTAGAAATCGAAATATTTTGGATATTTCGAATGTTTCGAAACGAAATTTTGATCCTTGGGTACATTAAAGAGAATATTTATATTTGAATGGCACATGGGTGGGTGGGTAGGAGTGTTTGGCCGCTACACTTTCGTGTAATATGGTGCTGATCAGGAGAAACGTGCTAGTTTTACTGTAAAGGAACATCAAATGTCACAAACACTATCAATTCATCTTCAAAAATTGGCCAACACAACTTTAAATGGATGGCTATAACTTTTTGATTATTACAGAAATGTAGTTATGGCATTTGCAAGACTTATCCATAAAGAAGAATTTCTGAATCTAGAAACAGACTTGGATATGCATTCCAACTAGGCTTGATCACTTTTGTGTTTCAACTACTAGGGTGGATCAGTAAATGGATGTGCATTTTGGATGTATGTATATGCACTCTAAAACTTTCACAAATATGAGAATTTGAGAGGTAATAGAATAGAATCTTGGCATGAGACAATAATAATCTTGACATAAGAATAGAAGAGAGCATGTGCAACTTTCATGGTGGTTCATGTTGAGTGTGGAGCCTGGATCAAGACAGATGGCACGAGCAGGACTCGGGCAGTGAGTTTGCTCAACCCTCGCTTGACATGACGCTCGAGTGAGACTCAGGTAGTGAGTTCGCTCAACACTCACTCGACAGGCCGCTCGAGTGAGACCCAGACAGAAACGTCGCTCGACACCCCGCTCAAACGAGTTACACAGTAAATCCGAAATTAGGGTTTTCTCGCCCTATCGATAAATACTCATTGTAAAGGCATGTGGCCATACGAAATTACTGTGAGTGTCCCAAAAGTTGTACTTGTGATTTCTCGAGCAATAAAATCCTTTGCAACCCTTTGGATGTACACTTCAACAAATTTATTTTTTAGCGATGAATTTTGACGACGAACAATAAAATTTGTTGTAAAAAATAATTTTTTGTGACAATTTCAAATGTTTGTTGTGGTAAAATTTTTTATGATATTTTTTGTGATCATTTTTTGTAGTCGTCGCCAATATTCTTCCCAAAAACGTTCCCTCCAAAATAAAATTGGCACCAATGTTGGCGCTAAATGCTAATTTTATGGGCGACAAAAAAAATTGTCGCCAAAATAATTATTTGGTCACAAAATTTTTTTCAAATAAGGAAAAATAAGAAAAAAATAATAATAATACTTAGCGACAATACATGTTTATTGCAGAAAAAAAGTTAAAATTTTTTTATTTGATCACAATTTATATTTGATCGCAAAATAACCAAGTAAATTTTGTATTGTGTGATTATTTAAATTACATTTTTATCGTTCTTTTTATTAATTTTACTTTATTATCGTCGTTTGATTTCACAATAGTTCAAGCTCATGTTATCAATCATCACTTTGGAGAGCACAAAGATGCATTGGTCGTGGCTTTATAGAACTTTATTGGGTGATATATACAAAAAGCTAAATAGAATAAAAAGTTGATCATAATAAGAAATCTTGATCGATGTCGCTGAACGGGGTCAACAGATTCAATGATGACTACTTGGAAGACTTGGGGTTAACCAAAAAGATATACCTGGCAGAGTATAAAATAGTATCACCCAAACCCGCTAAAGTTAAAAGTATAAAATTTTCCGTGCTCATTGAAATCCCTCGCTGTCAACTACTCCAGTCGTCTCACAGTAGCCAGCCATCCATTATCCTTCCTCATCCCTGAGTAGACTTAAATTCCACCTGGTCCCGGGTTCTGTTCAGCATATCCATACGCATTCAACTTCATGAGAGAGAGTGAGAGAGAGGGCCAATTTGTCCCTTAGTGGAAGTCCAGCTTCGTGAGAAAACAAAGTAAATATTTCTAAAAGCTAAATAATTTATGGAAAGGGACCAAGATTACATTTTTCTTCTTTTTTTTTGGTTCAACGGTTAAGAATGTCTAAGACAACTTACACGTATCTCAATTAATCCTCTTCCTGGTTTAAACAAGTTTCGGATAAAATTTACGTTGCCTCGTTTTTATTACACTTTGGTTTCGAACGATCCTTGACAACAATCAAACTCAAAAAAAAAATGATTTTTCAGTCTTTACATGCACATTCGTGTTTATCTAGCTGAGTTCGAAACGAGATCAACAATTAAACTAACATAAAAACATACTCGAGTTTCTAAGCCGAGCCTAAGTAGTTTTATTCGTCCTACAGTTCCAAATTAAGAAGACTGTACTTGATGTTACACAAAAAAAAAATCTCTGCTTCGATTGAAGTCATAATAGTCTCTTTCGGATAGTCCATCACCCTCACATCTCTGATGCTTCCTTTTCTTTCCTATACGATTGCTGAGCTTGAGGCCTCTACATGTTGGACTTGCTGAAGATGCAATAATACAGTATCTCCATAAAAAATGGATTATCTCATGTATTTGAGTTCTGACTTCTGCTTCCATTCCTTATGAACAATCCAAACAAAAGGAATGAATCATCGTTGAATTTAGACCCGAGAGCCCACTTTTTAAACCAAAAATCTGTGCATCAATGGTGCATATAAGCTGATATGGGCTTTCCTTCGGTAAAAGCTGCAATGGAACCGCGAAAAATTTCAAGAATGTGTCATATCATCTCAAAGCCAATGGGGCAACTGAACCCAGAGAGGGAGGAAAACCATGGCTCATCTTCAATTCCCTCATACAGAAAAGTAAAATCGTTTACAGACAGCTATTGTTACGCTACCCAAGTTAGTTATAGTCCAAAGTCCTTCGTAAAGTCTAATTTAAACATGAAATCCACTTTCATCCTTCAGGGAACAGCTAATCGTATGGATCTTATAGGTAGGTTCGGTGCCTTACCAGAAGAAATCTCGAATGCTCATGCACTTTCGCCTGTACATAAAGGTCCAGAATTACTTTCTGAGAGGAGAATGCATCAAACAGACTGCCAAAAGAACAATCACCAGTAATCTCCACAAGAACAAGCACCTTCCTTAAAGTGGTGAAATCGGTTCACATCACGAACAATAATGGCCCTATTTGTAATCAAAGACACATATTTACTAAATGTGTGACAGTCCCAGCAAACTCTAAGATTCTTTGTGATCCTGATTGGTGTTCCCTCAGGTGTTCCAATAAGGCCATACGTGATGGCCAACTTCTCGCTGTGTGTGTATAAGATTCCAATCTTAACTTCCTCATCCATTTCATGCAACACAATTTGTATCTGGAACATATCCAGCCAATTCTAATTCTTCACTCAAACTCTTCAGCTTTTCATATATTTCCTTCGACCACGGATGAGTATGGTCTCCAACACTAAATTGATGGATTTTATTGTCTGCCTCGATCCAAGTCCAACCAGGAATTTTTTTCAATCTCCGATGGGTCATCAATTCCCTAATCTTCGCCATGTCTTCCCATCTACCCGCTTTGGCATATATATTTGAGAGCAATACATAGTGCCCCGGGTTTTGAGGCTGCAGTTCAAGAAGAGATCTTGCGGCCTTTTCTGCCAACTCTACATTACCATGAATCCTACATGCCCCAAACAATGCCCCCCACAGCCCCTCATCTTTCTCAACAGTCATTTTTTCGATTAAATTCAATGCCTCATCAAGCTTCCCAGCACGGCCCAAAAGGTCAACCATACAAGTATAATGCTTCACATCCGGCATCAGGCAATACCCTTCTCGCATCAAGGAGAAAAATTGAAGGCCCTCTCCAACCAACCCCGAATGGCTACAAGCATACAACAGTGACACAAAGGTAATCCTATTTGGTGCTATCCCACTTCTCAACATCATAGGGAACAACTCAAGAGCTTCCTGGCCTCGTCCATGACAACCATAAGCAGCAATCATGGCACTCCATGATACAACATTCTTATGCGTGCAAGATCCTGCACAATATAAAAAACGAGAACAGATCTCTCCCTTGGTGAGCTCGAGTGAGCCGGTTGAGCGACCAAACACGCTGCTTGGAACAGCCTGCAAGGTACGGTGGTAACCTGGAACGGCAATGAGAAGTCCTGGGAACGGAAGAACGATCCAGTAAGGCTAAGAGAGGTTCCTGGAACAAAGAAGAACAAGTTAGAAGGGCGCCGGAGTGTTTTTCGGCGTATCCCCTCCGACGATCTAGTCAGTCTTTGAGAAAGAGAGAGAAAGGAGAAAACACTGAGAATGTATTGTAGTCGAGAGTTTTTTTGTTGCATACCCGTTTTGCCTTTTGCAAGGAGTATTTATACCTTAAAAGCTCATGATTGTTGTCAGTGTGGTCAGTAGGTGATCATTAGGCACAGGTAGCGTGCGCATTGATTCTGATGAGGAATGTCTTCTCTAATTAACTGCTCGGGGTCCCGAGCAATCAATGTTGGGTCATCGGGATGCCGAAGGTACAATGTGCTCCTCTCGGGGAGGATGCAATAAATGCTCTGTATTAGGAGCATTTATTGCCTTTCATTTCCGAACCTTACCGCATTGAATGCGGTCTCATCAAGGGAATGGTGCAATTAATTGTTTGTTTTCCCAAGTCGCGTGTCAGCAACGGCATGCGGTTTGTCTGTCTTTGATGTGATATCATATGCCACGCGTCCGTCCCCTATTGGCTGTGACCTCTGTATTCCAGTACGTTCTGACATTGTTTGTGTAAGACGAGGTCATGATGAATAGCCTAGACTAGCATAGGCTAATGACCTGTACGTCAATAGCTTATCCTGGAGTAGAGGAAGCGTCCAGGACGGGGTACCTCTCGGCACCGAGGAAAGGCTCATCTCGGGGACCGAGGGAGGTATGCCGACCGAGGTACATATCAGACCGAGGCCACGTGTCGGTTGTAAAATATACTGAAATGCATGATCCTATATGACGGTACCTCGGGGGCGAGGACATTCGTGCGCCGATGGTGCTTGATCTTAGCAACAGTGTTTTAGTAAAACCGAGGACACGTGTCTTCATCATAGGGTATTTCAGAAAAGTCCCATCAACTGCCCCTCAGCCTTCGATCTTCTGACACCGAGGACACGCGTTGTAAGGAGACGAAGGGTTTCCCAACTACCACCCGTCCTTCATCATTGCCTCGAGCCGCTTTCCCCGGCTTGGGATGTCGTGCGTATTTAATGCGCCGTTTCGTTTCTCGTGTCCAATGATGAAAATCGCCCCTATATAAAGGGGGCTCCTCTTCCGTTTTCCTCGTTTTGCCATTTCGAACTTTCTCAAGAGAGCCTCTTCTTGAATCTTCGCCGGAGTTTTGTTTCTTCTTCCATCGTCGACTGCCCATTCTTCCTTAAAATCTTAAAGCCAGCAGAACCATCGTTGATCCTGAACTTTCCGGAGGGAGTCGCTTTAAGGTTTTCCAGAAAAAACTTCGTTTTGACATTCGGGTGAGTTTCAGAATCCTTTCTTTTCTTCCTCCTAGCCTTTTGTTTTCCGATTGACTGGAGGTGTCATCCGGTTGATACATAGCGATTTAACCCTCGGGAAACTTCCTCAGGGATTTTCAAGAACACATACCCTCTTCTTTCTTACTTTTTTAGAGATGCCTCGTCGTCGCCCTGCTTCCGAGAATCCTCAGGCTGGTCCTTCGGGGTTGGGAAAATATAAAGTAAAGGGTGATGAGCAGATTGATAGGTTTAGGGTCAAGTACGGCATTCCCCCGTGCGTAGACGTAGAGGATTATGACCCTGTGTTGCACTCTTCTACCCTCGGGGCCGAGGATGCCATGCCCTTTTATACCAAGGCCATAATAGAGGGAGGAATTAGGTTTCCTTTACCCCCCTTACTTCTTCAGTTCCTTTCTCACTTTCGCCTCTTCCCCGGGCAATGTTGCCTTAATGTTTTTCGAATAATTATGGGGGTCTTAGAGCTCAATAGGCGCCTCGGGGTAAATATTGGGCTCAACGATCTTCTTTTTTGTTATTCCCTCCTGAGAGTCATGCCTCACCAACACTTCTACCTCAAAGCCAGGGACCCCTCCATGTACCTTGTAACTCATCTTCCGGACTCAGACAAGGGGTACAAGGATGATATTCTTATCTTCAAGGGATCTTGGCAGAGAGGTGTTGGTCCCGAGTATAATGACTTGTTATGCCCTCTGGAATGGAGAACGACAAGTACGTCGGTTCCTTTGGGTTTATTATTTCTTTCTCCAGACTTCCCATGCTCATGACTATTTTGTTTGTGCAGATATTCCTGCCCGGGAAACAGCTCCTCCCCCTCGGTCGCTGGTGAACTTTACCGACCTAATCACGGTTTGGAGATTCACGGGTGACAACGGGTTTGGCCGTGCTGCTCACATCCTACTGAATTATACCCCCGGGTATAAGAAATTTTCACAGCTTCCTCAGCCTTTTGAGCCGTCGCGGTGGTCTGAACTCTTCGATCAGGCGGCGAGGCTAGAGGTTGAGGAAAACTTGGAGGAAGACCCGGATCGGGCTTCGGAGGCAGAGGTAGAGGGAGTTGCTGAAGAGCTCGGGGTCAGAGAGGACGTTGTTCCTTCAGACGCCGAGGTGGGGACTTCGGGAGGAGACTTGTGGCCAGACTTCCAAGTTCTTCAATCCTTAGACGCCGAGGACGCCCTCGAGGTAGCGATGTCCAGCACCCCTCGCATTGATTTGGGGTTCCTTAGGCAGAGGCAAGCCCTCGCAGCCGGGAGGGGTCGAGGAACGACCGGCGGCACCCCCTCTGCAGGGACCAGTTCCACCCCATCCTCAAGGGTCCTCGGTCGGGGTCAGGTGCGAGACCGGGATCCTCAAGTGGAGGAGGAGAGAAGGGTCAAACATCGGCATGATGGCCTCGGCCGAGGATCCAGGCACCTCCCGCTCAGCAACAAAGCGGGAGAGGCCGTGGGTTACCCCCTGCTCTTCCACAACAGCAGCAGCAGCAACAGCCACGACAACAGCAACAATAGCAGCAGCAGACTCCCCCATCCCTTCCGCCTACAGTGGAGGCCGCGGAGTGGAATCCCCGAGCCACTGATCACATGAACCGAGTGATCAGGGTCGATGATTCCATTTTGCTGGATCCTCATGTCGCCAATGCAGTGAGTGAGACACTGCATTTCGAGGCTGACATGGCGGCTCACAGGGGGCGTTCAACGAACGTGTTGTTCCGCTCCATCATCCAGAATTCCCTGGTGGTAAGTTTATTTCTGCTTTGGTTTCTTCTCTCTTGCTTTCCATTTTTGTGACACCTTTTTCCCTCCTTTGCAGGCTACCCAGCAGATATCCATAATAGCTGCTCGGTACCATGGGTCTAGGATGGACCTCCAGCGGGCCCGAGAGTAGAAGGAGGAGGCGGAGGGGGCCCTCGCCCGAGCAATGGAGGATGTAGCTGCCAGGGATTCTACCCTGGCGGGGCAGGCTGCTCAAATCGAGCAACTCCTCAAGGACGCCGAGTCGGCTAAGGTTGGCGCTGAAAAGCTAAGTGCTGCCCTTGCCGATGCTGAGGGGAGGATAACCGAGCAGACGCGGCGACTTTCTGCTGCGGAGGAGAGGGCTGTAGGCTCAGAGGAAAGCTATCTGGCTCTTACCCAGGAGCTGGACCGGATCAGTGCCGAGGCACTGAACAAAAAATCGGAGGAGCAACTTCGCGAAGAGTTTGCCGATGACGTGCTTCCTGCTCTTGAAGAAAACAGCAAGAAGTTCTTCAAGAAAGGGTGGGACGAGGCGCTCCAGTCTGCTGGAATCCCCTCAGACTCCCCGCTCTTCCAAATGCACAAGTATGTGCCCTCGGCACAGATGGCACGGGCCGAAGCGGAGGTTGCTGCCGAGGATGAGGTCCCAATGCCGGTGCAAGTGTCGGCGGATCCGCCCGAGGCAGTGATCGTGGATTTGTCCGATGACGCCCCGTCGGACCATGCTCCTGGTCCTCAAGTTGCCCAAGTTCTCCTTGTTGCCGAAGTACCTCTCCTGCCTGCTCCAAAAGCTTCTCAACCATTTTTTGCTGACTCGCCCTCGGCTGATGTTCTGGAGATGCCTGGAGCCAGATGATAGCCCCTTTTCGCTTTTTTGATTGTACCCCTTTTATTTTCTTTTGTAGCCTTTGGAGACGCAAAGCCCCTTCTTGAAATGAATGAGTATTTTTTTCCTTTTTTGCGCACAGTAGTGTTCTTTTTTTCTTTTTCTTTTTTTTTTTTTTTGATCTGTCTTCGGGGCTGCTTGCCCATTGAAGAGGCTTGCTCTTGTGTTTGCTTCGGGGACAGGAGTCCTTGTACTCTGTCCCCAGGGCCTTGCCCTTCCAGGAGGCTTGCTCCTGTATTTGCTTCGGGGACAGGAGTCCTTGAACTCCATCCCCAGGGCCTTACCCTTGCAGGAGGCTTGCTCCTGTGTTTGCTTCGGGGACAGGAGTCCTTGAACTCTGTCCCCAGGGCCTTACCCTTGCAGGAGGCTTGCTCCTGTGTTTGCTTCGGGGACAGGAGTCCTTGAACTCTGTCCCCAGGGCCTTACCCTTGCAGGAGGCTTGCTCCTGTGTTTGCTTCGGGGACAGGAGTCCTCGAACTCTGTCCCCAGGGCTTTACCCTTGCAGGAGGCTTGCTCCTGTGTTTGCTTCGGGGACAGGAGTCCTTGAACTCTGCCCCCAGGGCCTTGCCCTTTATCTTTGTCGTTGGCAAGCACTTGAGGGAGAGAATACTTCAAAAGTAATATTTCTTTAAATTCATAACATTCCATGGTCGCATTACAAGTTTCTCATCCATGCCTTCTAATCTGTACGACCCGGCGCCTCCGATTGATATCACTTTGTAAGGGCCTTTCCAGTTAGGTCCCATTTTTCCCTCTGTTGGATCACGGGTATTGGCCGTCACCCTTCTGAGGACCAGATCGCCTATCTTGAATTCTCGTGCCTTGACCTTTCTGTTGTATAGTTGGGAAATCTTCTCCTGATACTTAGTTATCCTCAAGGCGGCTGCCTCCCTTCTTTCTTCCACCAGATCCAAATCCAATCCCAGTTGACGGTCATTCCCCCCTTCGTCGAAAGCTTGGGTTCTTATGGTC